TGGATGAATCTGGAAACCATCATTCTCAGCAAACTGACACAAGAACAGAAAACCAAACATAACATGTTCTCACTCATAGGCGGGTGTTGAACCATAAGAACACATGGACTCAGGGAGAGGAGCATCACACACTGGGGTCAGTTGGGGGGGGGTAGGGGAGGGACAGCAGGGGGTGGGAAGGGTGGGGAGGGATAACATGGGGAGAAATGCCAGATATAGTATGCACTTATGAAACAACCCTGCATGACCTGCACATGTACCCCAGAAAGTAAAATAAAAAAGAAGAAAGAGCAGAAATATAGAAAGATATAATAGATCTATCCTTTTCTTTGTGAGATTTACAAATCATATTTTTAATGATTGAAACAAAAGTTATAACATCACCTAACACTGAAGACAATAATATTTAAAGTTGGAGAAGTTAAAGGGACCTAAATGGAAGTGATGTTTACATATTTCCATTGAAGGAGTAAAATGTTGATGCTGGAGACTGTTCTAAGTCACATATATATGCTGCCACACTGACAGAATTTATTACAAAAACCATACAAAGGGCTACACTCAAAAACTCTGTAAATAATTTTTTTAAAAAGTTTAACCCAAAGGAAGGCAACGAACGAGAAACAGAGGAATGAGACCAGAGAAAACAAATCATAAAATACTGGAAGTAAGTGCTAACATGCACTTTTTAATTTAATTACTTTTTAAATTAATGGTCTAATTACACCAATCAAAAGACAGATACTGGAAGAGTAAATTAAAGAAAAAAAGAACACAACCAAACTATATGTTGCTTTCAAGAAACTCACTTCAGGTTCTACATAGGTAGGTTCAGCTAAAAAGATTTGTTGAAATATATCATGCAAAAATCACCAACAGAATATTAGTAAAATGAATCCAGCAATATATTACAAATTATACACTACGATCAAGGGGGATTTATTCCATATATACAAGAATATTCTTTTTTTTTTTTTTTTTTTTGAGATGGAGTCTCCCTCTATCACCCAGGCTGGAGTGCAGTGGTGCTATCTCAGCTCACTGCAACCTCTGCCTCCAGGATTCAAGTGATTCTTCTGCCTCAGTCTCCTGGGTAGCTGGGATTACATAGGCATCAGTCACCATGCCCAGCTAATTTAGTATTTTTAATACAGGTGGGGTTTTGCCAGGTTGGCCAGGCTGGTCTCCAACTCCTGACCTCAAGTGAGCCACTCTCCTTGGCCTCCTAATGCGCTGGGTTTACAGGTGTCAGCCAACACACCTAACTATTTCTTCTTATATATTGGAAATGTTTGTTCATTTGTTTCAAGAAATTTGTAATTAATTGTTTCAACATTAGAAAATATATTAGTATAATCCAGCATATCAACAGGCCAGATTCCACACCATTCATAATTAAAACTCTCAGCAAAATAGAAATAGAGGAGAATTTCCTTAATAAGAACAAGGAAATAAGAGAGGACACAAACAGATGGAAAAACATTCCATGTTCGTGGTTAGAATGAATCAATATCGTGCAAATGGCCATACCGCCCACAGTAATTTATGGAGTCAATGCTATCCCCATCAAGCTACCATAGACCTTCTTCACATAACTGGAAAAAAATAACCTTAAACTTCATATGGAACTAAAAAAGAGCCCACATAGCCAAGACAATACTAAGTGAAAAAAACAAAGCTAGAGGCATCAGGCTACCTGACTTCAAACTATACTGCAAGGCTACAGTAATCAAAACAGCATGGTACTAGTACCAAAACAGAGATATAGACCAATGGAACAGAACAGAGGCCCTAGAAGTAATGCCACACATCTACAACCATCTGATCTTTGACAAACCTGACAAAAACTAGCAATGGGGAAAGGATTCCCTGTTTAATCAGTGGTGTTGGGAAAACTGGCTAGCCATGTGCAGAAAGCTAAAACTGGACCCCTTCCTTACACCTTCTACAAAAATTAACTCCAGATGGACTAAAGATTTAAACATAAGACCTAACACCATAAAAACCCTAGAAGAAAACCTAGGCAAAATCATTCAGGACATAGACATAGGCAAGGACTTTATGACTAAAACACCAAAAGCAATGGCACCAAAAGCCAAAATAGACAAATGGGATCTACTTAAACTTAAGAGCTTCTGTACAGCAAAAGAAAATATTATTAGAGTGAACTGGCAACCTACAGAATGGGAAAAAAAATTTGCAATATAACCATCTGACAAAGGGCTAATAATCGGAATCTACAAAGAACTAAAACAAATATACAAAAAAAACAACCCCATCAAAAAGTGGGTAAAGGATATGAACAGAAACTTTTCAAAAGAAGACATTTATGCAGCCAACAAACATATGAAAAAATGCTCATCATCACTGGTCATTAGAGAAATGCAAATCAAAACCACATTGAGATACCATCTCATGCCACTTAGAATGGCGATCATTAAAAAATTGGAGACAACAGATGCTGGAGAGGATGTGGAGACATAGGAACAGTTTTACAGTGTTGGTAGGAGTGTAAATTAGTTCAACTGTTGTGGAAGACAGTGTGGCAATTCCTCAAGGACCTAGAAATAGAAATTCCATTTGACCCAGCAATCTCATTCCTGGGTAAATACCCAAAGAAGTATAAATCATTCTTTTATAAAGACACGTACACACGTATGTTCATTGCAGCACGGTTCATGATAGCAAAGACCTGGAACCAACCCAAATGCCCATGAGTAATAGATTGGATAAAGAAAATGTGGCACATACATACCATGGAATACTATGCAGCCATAAAAAAGATGAGTTCATGTCTTTTGCAGGTACATGAATGAAACTGGAAACCATCATTCTCAGCAAACTGACACAAGAACAGAAAACCAAACACTGCATGTTCTCACTCATAAGTGGTTGCTGAACAATGAGAACACATGGACACAGGGAGAGGAACATCACACAATGGGGCTTGTTGAGGGGTGGGAGAGCTAGGGGAGGGACAGCAGGGGGTGGGAGGATTGGGGAGGGAAACATTAGGAGAAATACCTAATGTGGATAACAGGGGGATGGATGCAGTAAACAACCATGGCATGTGTATACCTATGTAACAATCCTGCACGATCTGCACATGTACACCAGAACTTAAAGTATAATAATAAAAAAAGAACATCAATAAAGCACATACAGCTAAAGTCATACTTAATAGTGAAATACTGAATGATTTCCCCTTAAGATTAGAAGCGAGTCAAGGACATCTATTCTCACCACTCTGATTCAATATACTACTGGAAGTTCTAACCATGGCAACAAGGCAAGACAAGAAATAAAAAGCATACAGATTGGAAAGGAAGAAACATAACTTTTTATTTGTAGGTAACATATTATCTACTTTAAAAAAAACCCCAGGAGATCTACAAAAAAAACCTAGCACATGAAAAGAGGGTCAACATCGTAAAATTCAACATCCCTTCATGTTAATAACTTTCTATAAACTAGGTATTGATGAAACATATATTAAAATAATAAGAGCTATTTGTGACAAACCCATAGCCAATATCATACTGAATGGGCAAAAGCCGGAAGCATTCCCTTTGAAAACAGGCACAAGCCAGGATGCCCTGTCTCACCACTCCTATTCAACATAGTATTGGAGGTTCTGGCCAAGGCAATCAGGCAAGAGAAAGAAATAAAGATATACAAATATGAAGAGAGAAAGTCAAATTGTCTCTGTTTCCAGATGACATGATTGTATATTTAGAAAACCCCATCATCTCAGCCCAAAAATTCCTTAAGCTGATAAGCAACTTCAGCCAAGTTGAGATTTTGTATCCTGAGATACAGAATCAACTTGCAAAAATCACAGCATTTCTATACTCCAACAATAGACAAGCAGAGAGCCAAATCATGAATGAACGCTCATTCACAATTGCAACAAAGAGAATAAAACATCTAGGAATACGGCTGTCAAGGGACGTGAAGGACCTTAACATCACAAACCACACAGTCCGATCATTCTACTTCTAGATATTTATTCAGGAGGAGTGAAACCCGATGTCCATGCAAAGGCTTGTATGCAAATGTTTGTAGCTGCATTTATAATAGCCCAAACCTGAAAACAACATTAACAGATGAATGCATAAATAAATTGTGGTACTTATTAGTAGTATACAGTAGAATCCAGCTCAGCAATAAGAAACTAATGAACTATTGATTCATGCTACAACACGGGTGGATCTTAAAATAATCATGCAAGCGAAGAGAGTCAGAAAAAAAGGAATTTCTGTATGATTCCATTTATATAAAATTATTGAAAACTGAATCTAATGTGTAGTGACAGAAAGCCATTGGATAGTTCCTTGAGAATTGAGGGAGAGGGCTTGTAAGAGGGTGGGCAGATTTACAGTGGGGCACAAGGGAATTTGGGGGCGACAAATATGTTCATTATCTTGATTGTAAGAATGATTTCACAGGTGTGAATGTCAAACTTTTCAAATGGTACATTTTACACATGTTGAGTTTATTGTATGTGAATTATGTGTAAATAAAGCTGGCTAAAAATGGGATAAGAACAACATAACATTCTTTAGATTCTTCTTTTCCTGATACAGTTGGCTTTCTGTTGGAAGTGTTTGAAATTTGCTGGCCGTGTGCTGTAGTCCCAGGTACTCAGGAGGCCAAGACAAGAGGATGACTTCAGCCCAGGAGCTCAAGACTAGCGTGGGCAACATAGTGGTCTTGTCTCTAAGAAGAAAAGGAAAGAAATGTGTTTGGAATTTGAGCTCTTTTTCTCTAGTCTCACAGCATACTCCCTTCTCATTTTGGCAGAATGAAGATCTGACCCTTTTAGATGAGGAAATGGAACAGGGTTACCGTGACCTGGAGAAGATACAAGACCTTTATTCCGAGTCCTTGATCATGGACTGGTGGTACAATGCAGGAAAGGATGGGGACAGCAAGTGAGCACCCCGGCCCGCCTGTCTCCCTGCGCTGGGGCCTCTCCAGAGCTGGGGCTGCCCCCTGGGCCCTCGTCCTTTCGGCAATGCCTCATGAAATTTCTTTTAGTGAAAAGAATCCCATAGTATGGCTAAGTTAGGATTTTTTTAAGCAAAGAGAATTAATAATTTAATAACTTTAATCTTGGGTTTGAGGAGGCCACATATTTCCCTTTATGTTCTCCACACAGTGTGGACAGGTCCCCAGACCCAAGCAGTGACAGCACAGATAGGAGCGCTGTGTGGGAGGGGAGCTCTGACTCAGGGATCAGGAGGCCAAGGCCTGGACTTCCCTCTGTGTGACTGTGGTGGGACCTGGACCTCCCTCCACACCTCTCCACTGCGTGGGTCTCTGTTTCCTCATCTTCAAAATAGTGGCCATGGCGGTGGGGTTTGGGATAGATGATTTCTTGTGTCTGCTCCCATCCTATATTCTAATATGTTTCTAATTAGTGCTTTGCAAATCTTATTAAAATGATTTAATGTTTTCCAGATATTCAAGTGTCACAGCCTACCCTGCCTGGAGGGTGTCTTTTTTATTTGAAAGAATGATAGAAAATTGGGGGGAAAATGAAAATACATTTATTAATCAGAATTTCTTGTTCAACAAAATTTACTGCCTTCCTATTAGCAAATTAAGCATTTGTATGGGCTTAAGGTAAGGCATGACTGTGGAATCAGTAAAAAGAGGTAAATGTTATAATGGCCATCTTATAATGAGATTTTATGGCATTGTTTTTTAAGTATTTGGGAAAGCATAGACAGAGCTTCTAAACTTCAAACATTTGAACAAATAAACTAAGAATCAAGTCAATGAGAAGCCTTTTGTTGAGTAGAAACCATGCAGTAAGAGAACTGAGGTGCACAGACCAATGTCAGCCTGGTTCCTTCTGCCATGGGGGCACAGTGCAGGCACAGACCCCAGAGGGCTATGGAACCCGGGGCAGGTGCTTCACGGAGACATTGAGGGACAGTGCAGGAGGGAGGGCACACGTCACAGTGTTGGAGCAGAAGGTTGCTCTAGAAGTTTTCCTTTCTATGGCTGCTGCCTTGAGAGCTTCAGAGAAGGTCATGTCTGGGAAAACACGCAAGCATTTCTGGAATCCCTCCATTCTCCAGAATGGTTCCCTGCGATCTGGTGCCAGCATGGGAGGTCCAAGGCAGGAGTTCCTGTCTCTGGCTTTTATAAGCGCTTGCTCGTAGACACTTGGTTAGAGAATGGGTTTCTGCAGTGCTTACTTGCTTATAACTGGCTTTCCCTCCTATAAATCCTCGCGTCAGCCCCACGTAGTCACTATATGTGCTCAGGTGACGTTTCCTGCAGTTGATAGATGAGGAAAGTGAAGAAGTTTAGAGACGACTGAGTGACTTGACTGAGGTCACAGAGCCAGGAAGGGCCAGACCTGTGATGTGGGCTGTATCTTCTGACTCGAAGGCTGGGCCCCATCCACTCTTCTGCATGGGTCAGGGATAAATGACTATTTTTATATTAACCCAGATGGGGGAAGGCTCACTTCTTTAAGTTTACAGTGTTCAACATGAATGTATTGACTTAACTCTGCCTTCTTGATGAAAATTTTCTTTTCTCTCTCTTTTTTTGCTCCACTTTTAATCTAAATCAAAACAGGCATCAAAAAGAAATCTGTTCTATGGTTTCAACCCCAGAAATATGTGCAAAGCCTCAACCTGATGTCAGTTCAACACAAACTTCATCCCTGAATATGTTGAAGGGACCATGGGGCCTTTCCGATCAAAAGGTTCAGAAAAAGAAAGTCCTCCATGCAGGTATCAGTGAACAAAATGGCTTGACTCTTTTGCTGGTTTCTCTTCAAGGAAAGAAGACAGAATAAACCTAAACCCACATAATATTTTTAAAAAGCACTAAACCTATGGGTTTTTAAAATTAATATTTGTATGAAAATAATTGTACATTCACATGGTCTAATATATACCTACCCTTCATCCTCTTTTCCCCAATGGTAGGTAACATCTTGCAAAATAATAGTACAACATTGAAACTAAGATATTGATATTTATACAATCCACAGGTCTTATTCAAATTGTCCCAGTTTTACTGGTACCTGTGAGAGAGAGAGAGAGAGAGACTGAGAGAGAGAAAGTGCGTGTGTGTGTGTGTGTGTGTGTGTGAGAGAGAGAGAGAGAGTGTGTGTGTGTGTGTGTCTGACAGTCTGTGTTTAGGTCTACACAGTTTTATCACATGTGTAGGCTTGTGTTTCTACCACTAGAGCCAAGGTACAGAAGAGTCCCTTCACCACAGGGATCCTTCACGCTGCCCTTTTATAACCACACCCACCTTCCTTGCACACTCTTCCTACAGCTAAAATCAAGCTAAATGGTGAAAGACTGAATTATTTCTCCGTAAAATTGGGGGAAAGGATGCCTACTCTCACCACCCTATTCAACATAGCATGGGAAGTCTAGCGACTGCAACAAGGCAAGAAGAAATAAAGCCAGAAAGCGTGGAGAGGAAGAAATAAAACTTCCTTATTTGCAGACATCATATTGTCTATGTAGAAAACAGCAAGGGATGTACCAAAATTAGCTACTGAGTTGAGCAAGGTGTCTGACTACAGGACACACAAGGACAATTGCATTTTGATATGCTAACAGTGAACATGCAGCAACCTATATTAAAGTCATCCATAATTGCTCCAAATAAAATGAAATAACATGTAACAAAGTATAGGCAGAATCTGTATGCTGAAAATTATAGAATTCTGCTGTAAGACACTAAAGAAGACCTAAGTAAATTGAGACACCCTGTTCATAGGTTGAACGAATTGGTGTGATAGATGACAATTCTCACCTCATTTATCTATAGTTTTAATGAAATTCCTAATAGAATCCCCAAAATGTTTTTATAAACACAAGCATATTTTAAAATATGTACAGAAACTTCAGGTTCTAGAATAGCTAAAATAATTTTGAAAAAGAAAATAAAGTTGGAGAAATCACTGTACTCGATATTAAGGCTTACCACATAACCACATCAATCAAGACAGTGTGGTATTAGCAGGGGGATAGGCAGAATTGAGCCTAGATTTAACCCACACAAATAGACCCAAATGCTTTTGACAAAGGTACAAAATTAACTCAATGGAGGTAATATAGCCTTTTCAACAAAGATGCTGAAACAAGATCTACATACAAAAAAGGAAAAGAAACTTGGCCTTAACTTCGCATGGACCATGGACTTAAATGTAAAATGGAAAACTATAAAACTTCTAGAAAAAAATTAAAATTTTTATCCAGTTGAGGAAGATCCACACATTTCTAGCTTTCTGAGAGTTTTTATCATGAATGGGTGCTGGATTTTATCAAATGTTTTTTCTGTGTCAGTTGATACAGGATTTTTCATCTTTAGTCTATCAAAATGGTGAATGACATCAATTGATTTTCAAATGTGGAAGCAGCCTTGTATATATCAGAATATTTCCCTCTTAGTCTCGGTGCAGAATTCTTTTAATACATTGCTAGATTCCATTTGCTAATATTTTGTTGTGGATTTTAGTATCAAAGTTCATGAAAGCTATTGATCTATAGTTTATTTATTCTTTTTTAGTATTATCTTCATCCAGCTTTGGTATCAAGCTACTACTGTCCTCGCAATTGGGTTGGAAAATTGTCCCTCCTTTTCTGTTCCTGGAAGAAATTGATGTAATTCTTCTTTGAATATTTAGTAAAGTTATCATGGAGCCATTTGGGCCTTGGGACTTGTTTTCCAGATTTTTTATTATGAATGCAATTTCTGTAATGGTTTTAAGGATATTGTCCATTTCATCTTGGTTGAGTTTTGGCAGTTTGTGGTTTTTGAGTAATTGGTCTATTTTTTCTAATTTATCAAATTTTTGAAGGCAAATTTGTTTACTGTATACCTTTGTTAGCTCTTAAATGGCTGCAAGATCTTAAGCAATGAACTCTATTTCATTTTCAATATTAGTGCTCTGATCTCTCTTCTCTCTTTCTGACTTTTTCTGTCTAGCTAGAGATTTTCTTGCTTTTCTTTCTATCTGTTCATTTGTTTCCAGAGAATGTGTAATTAGTTGTTGAAGCACTTTTATGTGTAGCTTCCTTTGGTGTTAGCATCATGCATTTGCTTTTTCTGATTCAAGGTGTGATTGTTTTTCTAGTTATTGATATGATGGGTGATTTTTGATAGTATCCTGGACGTTTTGTCTATTATGTTAGGAACTCTGCATCTCATTTAAGTATTTTATTTTATAAAGTAGTCACCCTGTTTAAATTTAGCATGTGGGCCTTGACCTACTTTTGTGGGCTGTGGTTCTGATGGCAATTGAATTTTCACAGGCTGCGTGATATTGTTAAATATTTTGGTGCTTGTTTTTTCTGGTGTTCCTGGGGCTCCTACTGGTCCCTGTTGGTGCTGCCTGAGCTGGCAGCTGGGATCCCCTCAGACCAGGATGTTAGGTGTCTCCGAGGGGAGAGTTGCAGCAGCTTCCCCCAGTGCTGTCTCTAGAGTGTCGCCATGTTGCTGGCAGGGGAAGAGGGCCTTGAACCCACAGGGACCAAGAGGGTTCCTGGAATGGGCCACTAACTGGAGATTGGCCCCTCCTGCAGGATCTGTCCACATGCTTCTGCTATCTCTGTACAAGGGAGCAGTGTGTTACATGGGAACAAACAGGCTTCCCACACTGGTCCCTGGTGTGGCTGCGTCCCTTTTTCCAGTCCTGTCTGCCTGCTCCAATGAATCTGAGTTTTGCCAGAGTTGCTACTTGTCTTAAACATTTTAATGGTCTATTGTCACTGCCACCATTTCACTTAGATTTGGGACGTTTGGTGTTGGGAGACAATCATATGCTGAGTTTCTGTTTTGTTTCCATTTGTGATGTTGAGGAGTGATGAAATGCCATGACTGATCCCACAGAGTCAGGGGAGGAGCTAAATGCTTGAATCCACTGCCAGATTCATTCCACATTTGTGGCTTTTGGGAATGGTATTTTTTATGTTTAGAGACATAAATTCATTTTCATTTGGCTCACATAAATTGTTCTGCCTGGCAGTGTTGGTCAAGGTGGCCTGCCACTGTGGACAGCAGCAGGAGCTCAGTTCTCTGATTTGGATTGTTGTCTTTCTCTCACAGACATAGCTCCTAAGAAAATTTAGCTTTCTCAGCTCCTGGGTACAGAGACAACCAAGGCAGGGCTCACCCTTTCCTTGCCTATAAAAACAATGATTACGTATAGCACACTCCTTCTCTATGCACGGAGACCACTGGTGTTACTTTTCTGTATGAAAGATACCCATTTGCAGATTACTAGCTAATCGTCACTCTAACTATCTAGTATCTTGTAGGAGAGGGTAAGTCTTCTCCCAGTGAGAACAAAGACACATTTCATTCATGAATGCTGACATAAAGCCTTGGTTCTAGTGTGATATTGTGCTGGCCTAGAGCCAGAACCGGAGCAAAACTATTTTATAAAATGCAAAACTGTTTTTTAAATAAGTTGAAATGGCTGCCCCATTCTCCTCACAATAACTACTGTCCTTGGCCTCTGTAAATAGAACTGCTAGTTTGTGGCCGGGCGCGGTGGCTCACGCCTGTAATCCCAGCACTTTGGGAGGCCGAGGCGGGTGGATCACGAGGTCAAGAGATCGAGACCATCCTGGTCAACATGGTGAAACCCCGTCTCTACTAAAAATACAAAAAATTAGCTGGGCATGGTGGCGCATGCCTGTAATCCCAGCTACTCAGGAGGCTGAGGCAGGAGAATTGCCTGAACCCAGGAGGCGGAGGTTGCGGTGAGCCGAGATTGCGCCATTGCACTCCAGCCTGGGTATCAAGAGCGAAACTCCATCTCAAAAAAAAAAAAAAAGAACTGCTAGTTTGTTCTGCAAAACTATGTAAAGCTGCTTACCTTTTCTTATCAGTAACTGCTAAAATCTGTGACTTCTATCACCACCCAGACGATGTGTAAACAAATGTATATCTTGACTTCTGTAAACCACTGAAGTAACAAACAGAATGACAAAAGTCCCCTGGCCCTTGGAATGTCCGGACACCCCCGCCCTTGTCTCCACCCAGGAGGTGAATCACAGAATCCCCTAGCCCTTGGAATGTCCGAAACCTTTTCATCCCCATCCCCGCCCCTCACCCCCACTCCCAAGGTGATTTTTCGGGTATAAAAAATCGTGGCACCCTCCTTTTGGCACCACAGGTTGGAGAGACATGAGTCCTCTGTGGTCGCCAGCATAATAAATGACCCTGCAATCTGGCATACTTTTGTCTTGGTGATAACTTTCTACGCTCCGGTCAAATACAACACTAGGTACTTCTAAGGCCTCTAAATTATGAAGTACAGACTACACTTACAATTACTGTGGTTTGTGTTATCAAATATAAAAAGTAGTCAAGATGACTCGGTGTAGGCTCATTGTCCTCTAAAGCCACAGATTCAAGGTCAATATTTGCTAAGTTGTCATTTGCCTGTAGAAGGGACACATCAGAGTGTAGAAAATAACATAAAGATCTGGACAGCAATTGTGGTGGGCAGAATTTCTAGAATGGCTTACCAAAGATGTCCTACCCTAAACCTTGCAACCTTTGAATATGATGAGACGTCACTCTCATGACCAGGTTATGCTGACCTAGACAGGGTTATCTAGGTGGGTCCAGTGTAACTGTGGGAGCCGTGAAAAGCAGAAGCTATTTCCAGCTGGTGGAAGAAGAGAAAGAGAGATTTAAACCACAAGAGGAATTCAATGTGCTATTACTGGCTTGAAGACAGAAGAGTTGTGTGAGAAGTAATATGGGTGCTTTAAGCAGCTGAGAGAGGCCCCTGGGTTACAGCCAGCAAGGAAATGGGGCCTCAGCCTTACAACTGCAAGGAGCTGGGTTCTGCTGACAGCCTGAATGAGCATGGAAGCTGGCTTCTATGCAAGAGAGGCCCAGCTTAAATTCAGATAAAGGGAGCAGGACATCCCGGAGCATTCAGTTTGTGGCAGCACCACCCTAGGAGGATTGGGAAACTAAGGTTGCATTCTTACTTTAAGGAGCTGATAAAATAGTTGTATCTAATAAAGTATCTCCTTCCATCCCCAATTCCTTTAATTTCTCCCTGTGATACCAACAGAATCAACCAAAACCAGCCTGCTCAGAAACCAGATGTCCTCCCTCAGGAGCTCAGCTTGCAATAAAAGGAAGGACGGCCTCTCCAATGCCAGCAGCCGGAGGACTGCTCTAAGTGACAAAGGCAAGCCGAAAAGAGTCTCTGTGGCCAGCCAGCCTCCCTTTCCCCAGTGTACCTGTTCCAGAAAGGCCTGGGTGTAGATATGTTGGGTAAATCATATTTTAAATAAGCCCAGATTGCTTCCTATTCAAAGGAATCCCTTGTAAGTCAGGTCTGCCTGCATTATGACCTGGATTTTCTGAGAGCCGGCCTTGTGCTTATTGTGCCTGGGTGCTCAATACACACGTGGCTCACATAACTATGGTCCTGCTGCTGGCAGTGCGACCCCTGATTGTGGGACCCCAACCCATGGAGGCAGGCCCCCAGTAGACATGAGGCAGGACGCGTGGTGGCCGGTACCGACTTTATTGGGATCTCCGGGCGACTCAGGTGGACGGGGATGAATCGCGCGCGCTTTCTTTGTTCGGTTGACTTTATAGGGACAGAGGGCCTGGGGCGGTAGGAGAGCTGATCTGGCAGGTAGTAATTGGCTAGGTTGATTGCTGGGCAGGAAGCCTGCCGGGCGGGAGCTTGTGGGACGGGAGGTTACAGGAGAGCTGGTGGGGCGGATGGTGATTGGTTCAGTGGGCCGCTGGGCGGGAAGGTTGCTGGTCTTGGGCCGGGCCAGGATAGAGTGAGATAAGGGACCCTCCCTGTGGGGGAGGAAGGGCCTTCCTTTTCGGGAATTAGGCCCTTTCCACATGGCTGGGGAACGGGGCCAAAAGTCCTCTACCAGACACTGGCCCTCCATGATTTGATTTTTAAACTGTCATTTTTCATAGTTGGTTTATTTTCTTCCCTTTATTTAATGGATGATGCTATCAGATGAGCCCCTCTCTGCTCCAAATTGTCAGCCTTTTGGGGACTGCATATGAGGAAAATGTGATTTTTTTCCACTCAATTTTTATTACTATTGATAAAATTATTAATATTAAAGTAATACTTTTATTGAAAAGTTTGATACCTGTAATATTATTCTTATATTTCAAATAGTTGATAAATTAAAAATCCCAGTTCAATACACACATACACACAATCCCTTAGGGAGTAGGAAGTGGCTGAGTGGCAAATGTACACCTGTGGCTCCTCAGTCATTGTTTAATTGAACCCTGCTTTCTTCAGTGCTGATCTGTGTGATGTCTTTTCCTCAATTTTTTTTTTTGAGACAGGGTCTCACTCTGTTACTCAGGCTGGAGTGCAGGGGCAGGACCCTGGCTCACTGAAACCTCTGCCTCCCCAGCTCAAGCGATTCTCCTGTCTCAGCTTCCCAAGTATCTGGGATTACAAGTTCCAGATATTTTTTGTATTTTTAGTAGATATGGGGTTTCACCATATTGGTCAGGCTTGTCTCAAACTCCTGACCTCGGGTGATCCACCCGCCTTGGCCTACCAAAGTGCTGGGATTTTGGCCGGGCACGGTGGCTCACTTTCAGTTAACCTGCCACATCTCCTAAGTGGTCTGCATGCACATGCCTTAAAGGGCTTTTCAGACAATGATTGGGATGTGATTTCTTAGCTATTTAACTAGCTCACATCCAACAACACGCCTCCTTCTGAATGCAGCTCTTTCAACAAATATCCTTTTTCATTTATAAATACACTTTTATATAAAGATATATTTAAAAGCCCAAATATTAATTTGAAAATTTGAACATGCAACTAAACAAGACCTAACAGGTTTTTTGGTTTTCTACATAAAGCTGAAGAACCACAAAACAATCTATCAGAAATGAAAATGTTGATCAAGGCTCTCTTGTGTAATTTGGAGGAATCTCAAAGGTTGATACTGAGCAATCATCGGTTAATGGTGTTTTTATTGAACACTTTTTAGAGATGTGTGTTTTCCGAATGAAAGAATGAATATGTCTCATTGCCTCAAAACAATGTAGTGCTGTATTTACCCATGCATTGGTCTGTAATTGCAAAGGGAACTTGCCTGAGAGGCTGCTCTGACAGATCAAGATATGTTCTCAGAAATGTGGTCCATTTATTAACTCTCACTCACAGCTGAACCAAGACAGGTGTGATCCCTTTGCATTTTATGTAAAACCCATATATGAGGAAAACATACAACTGCCTTCCCCTTCCACAGACATGAGCATCCTGCTGGCTGAGGAGTGTCTGGATGACCAGTCATCAGAAAGGGTGACCCAAGAAGGAAGCCAGGTTTATGACCACAAGTGAGTTATTTAATTTGACGAAGACAGTTCTGTTACGCTTTTGTTGGTTAATCATTAAATTTAAAACACCACCTTGTATTCTTAGTTCTTCAGATGTGTCTTCAGAAAACTGGCTCAAGACCTATGGCTTGGTTGCCAAGAAACTCACCCTCATGGATGCCTTGTCAGTGGCGGCGGTCCCCCACAGCTCCACCTATGTTCCTGTCCTGGACAAGCATGTCATGTCTAAGGTCTTTGATGAGGTAAGCTGATTGTCTATATGTCCCTACTTGAGGTCATTTTCATTTTCTGCTCAAATGAAAAGCAGTCCAATTTCTTACATGGTTGTAACAGAAATGTATTTTAGCCATTGGGGGAAAAATATTTGTAAAGGCAGTAAAAGGGAGAGAGAGTCTCTTAAGAATTTGGGCGTGGTGGCTCATGCCTTTAATCCCAGCACTTTGGGAGACTGAGGTGGGCAGATCCCTTGAATCCAGGAGTTCGAGACCAGCCTGGGCAACATTGTAAAACCCTGTTTCTACAAAAAGTACAAAAATTAGCCAGGCATGGTGGCACACACCTGTAGTCCCAGCTACTTGGGGGACTGAGGTGGGAGGATCGCTTGAGCCCGAGAGGTTGAGGCTGCAGTGAGCAATGATTGCCTGGGTGACAAAGCGAGATCTTGTCTCAAAAACAATGAAAATAAAAATTCTCTTTTTAAGCTGAGAGGAAACTGACCTCTGCTGGGTTGGCACTTCATGGTTCACTGATAATGGATAGAAGAGTCGGGCTGCAGAAATGTTTGAAAACTCTAGGTCAGAGTCATAAGGGAACATCAAATATCATTCCTTATGAAAGGAAAGGGAGGACTTGTGAGAGATTATGTCCTTCCTTTGCTTACCTTCTCTTCCTAAATTGAGTGGCATCTTTTGCATCAAATAGCCTTCAAAGGAAAAAGTTAAGAGAGCAAGTGAGCAAGCCACATGCTAGCAAAAGAACCACCAGACTGCCCTAGGCAGGTCCGGAGAGGAGAAAAACAGCTTCCAATAGGAGGGCGTGGTAGGTTAAATGTGGAGGAAGGTCAACAAAGTACAGAAAACTTAGCACTTAATTTGGCAACAAGGAAATGCTCATCTTTACAAGAATAATTTCAGTGGAACAGCTAATCTCCGGTCGGACTGCAGCAGGATGAAGAACACCAAAAAAATGAGAACATGAAGACTGAACTTCAGTGGTTCCTGGCAAATACAACAGCAACTAATGATTTAAATAGAAACATTTCAGTCTTTGCAGTCGCTGAATGGAAACAATATCCTTAAAAGACCTGTCTCCTGCTGAAATCTTTACAGAGGAAATGATACGATGCTTGGGGTTTGCTTTATAATAATTGGAGTGGTGGGAGTCGGGGTGGGGCAGGGGAGGAAGTAGATAAAATAGATTGACCATGTGTTGATCATTGTTACATTTGAATAAGGCTTGATGAGGAGGGTAGTTTTACTATTCTTTCTGCTTTTTTGTGCATTTGAAATTTTCCATAAAAAGAAGTTGAAAAGATCAAAGGCAGGAGAAAGTTTTTTAAAAAAATAACTGGCCTTGAAATAGCTGAGATTTGATGTATTGGAAGAAGCAGACGAATTGGTGAATTTTTTTTCTATTAGCACATTTAAAAAATTATCACCCATGGTGGCTCACCTGCCTCCTAGTTTGGCATGACCAATGACTCTCCCTCCAGAGGCTGTGTGTGTGTTCTCCTCTAGGCTGGTTCCTGGCTGCTTTGTCTCAAGGTGCTTGGTCCTGTCCGTGGCTATTACCCTTGGGATTGGCAGATTTGATTTATACCTGATTAGTCAGTTATCAACTCACCACTTGAATGTGACTTCTTCTAGAAGCAACAGAGAGAAACTGAACACTGATATATTTCTTCTAGGGGGGTTTGGAGATAACTTCTTCGTATTCTCTGCAGTTATATTACTATTCTTGAGTTTTATTTGGGACAAAATATGTTTAGTGAACTATACTTGGAAATAGAATTTTCTTGGGCTTATTGTGCCTCCTTCTAAATGTCCCAGCAACCTGAGCTAGAGTGAAAAGTAAATTTCTTGAAAAAAATATGATAGGATAGGGAAACAGAAGCATAAAATTCAAGGAAGAACCATAAAGGAAAGATTTATAGGCTGAGTAAGTAAAAATGTTATTTTGCTTAAAAACATATGTATAGAATAAAGGCAAATCTCAGAAAAATACCTGTAACACATAGGACAGACAAAAAGGGTCATAAAGTAATATCTTACCTTGTGTGTCAGTATAAATCACTGTGTGTGTATGAATTAGTGTTCAGTGTGCAAACACACTGGCACATGCATCCATATCATAAGGGAATGAGAAAATGATAAATACCTCACTGGAAAATTTAGGAAAAAAAAGAAAAAAAGTCAAAACCATATACAAAAATATTTAACCTTGCTGGTAACCAAATATATGCACTTAAAAATACAAATTGAAAATCAATTATACACCACATCCCCCATCAAATTGGTAAGGTTAAAAAGTACTAATAAGCAGTAATGGCAATGATAGGGTGGAATGGACACTTACATTTTGCTAGTGAGAGTATAAATTGGTGCATTCTTAGTGTAAAATATTCAGAAGACTTAAGGGCTTAAATTTACCCCAGTAAATTAATGTATTACTGGGAATCTGTGTAAGGAAATAATTAGAGATACTGAAGAATATGTGCAGAGAATAATACTGCTGCCTTATAGCTAACAATGGAAAACAACACAAATTCATATAATGGAATGTCATGCATTCATCAGATATCTCATGTCTGAAGAATAAGTAATGACATGATTGAAAGCCCTCACGCTAAATGAAATATGCTAAATGAAAAAAATCAGAGTATATAGTATGTTAGAAATTTGGTTGTACATGTCACTGATCCAGGCATGGTACTTTTTCTTTCCCTTCCTTTTTTCTTTTACCAAAATGTTAACAGTTTAGCTGGGTGATGTGAGATTGTTGGAGAGGTATGGTTTTTTTTTAATGTACTTTAAAATTTTTATCCTAATACTTGAACTCTGAACATATATTAATTATACACTGAGAAAAGTGTTAAGAAAAACAGACCTGAAAGCAAAGAGTAAAATCATGTAAATGTAATGGGAAATTAATTTTTAATTGGCTACTTTATTTTTATCTGATAAGTAATATATGACTAATTCTCAGTATGTGAAATTTAGCAATACTGAAGTCTTTAGAGGAGGCTTCTCTCACAACCACTCCAATCCGTGAAGGAAACACATTGAATAGTTTTGTGAATTTCCAATTCTTCTTCTACGTATGCATATGTCAGTATGTGCACACATACACAATTATACACAGACACATAAGAACTTTAATAAACATGAATAAGATAATACCATATACATTTACTATTTTTATAACTATTTTAAACATTTTGTCTTAGAGTTCTTTTCACACAGGTAGATGGTCTCATGCCTATAGTTGCAAGGTTCTTCCCCATTATGAATGGATATTTACATTGTGTCCTTCCTTCCCCTCTTACAAACATTCCTGTAACGGGTTTCTTTGCACATAGATTTTTGGGCACATGTATAAATCTGTCTCCAGAATAAATTCCCTCAAGTCAGATGACTGGACCCAAAGGGTATGTGCATTTTAAATTTTGATAATTCAAATCATCCTCCAGATTCATTGTACATTTTCTCTAGTATATGTCCACAGACAGAGTAAAATAATACTCTCTTCCTAAGAGAAACTCTGTATAATACTTGAAAATCATTAGTCCTAGGTGTATAGAAATGTTCTGAAAACGCTGAAAGTAGTATGTAGACATAAGATCTTTATTCAGTGTATTCTTTCCTCATTGGCTCATATGCTGAAAAAGCAAACTTAATATTCAGTTCAACATTTAGAAATTTTTTCTCTGAGATGTATATGATATATCTATACTCTATGAATAATAGTACGCCTACTCTGAGGTTGTTATGGGATTAAAAGAAGTAATACATACAGTGGAAAGTACTTAGTAGGCACTTAAAATGTTGGCTTTCATTATAAAACTATTTAATACATCTAAAGCCCTATTATATGCCTGGGTTGGGCTCTAGAATACAGTGCCAAACAGGAAAGCCAGCATTTCTCCCCAAGCACAACTGACAGTCTCAGGAAGAAATAAAAATGAAAATGAGTGAAGTTCTAGTTCAATGTGACGAGTGGGAAGTGCTGAGTGAAGATGCGGGAGAGACCCCTAACCTGGTTTCAGTTGCCACAGAAGGTTTGCCTTAGCTAGTGGCATCCGAGCTCAGACCGGAGGGGAAGAGAAGGAGGTATGAAGGTGGAGAGATGGGAAAGAGAGTCCCAGGCAGTGGAGGAGCTTTGAGGAAGCCTAAGGGACAGAGAACATTTGTCATTCCAGAGGAAGTTTAGTGTGAGAGGAGGAGGTGATAAAGCTGGTGAAGGAAGGGCCTTGATTGAGTTAAGGATGTTGAACTTCATCCTGAGGGGAATGGAGGGGTTTTTAGCAGAGGAGAGAGATTAATTTGGAGCTTTAGCTAACAGAGAACAGTTGGAGAGGCATGAGGCTGGGGAGATGGTGTCAGTCAGGAGGCAGAGTCTAGGTGGCTGGAACCAGTAGGCTGTGTGGCTGGAACACTGGGGATGGACCCAAAGCTCTTTATAAAGTCAAGTCAGTGATGTGGGGCTGAGAGAGAGAAAAATGCCAAGAGTGATTCTCCAGACTCCAGCCTGGAATGTCAAGCAGAAGGAAAATAAAGGATGAGTGTCCTGTTCTTCAGGAGCACATTCTAGTCTTCTGCCTCTAGAACACAAAGCTAAGGGGAGGGGATGAACCGTTCTCAAGTGCATCCCAAGGGCACTCGTGCTTGGTGCCTTTTGTGGCATTGTGAGTTCTCATGACAACCTGCACATAGGTAGGCACTACACAGCACACTTGCCCGCCCTTATTCTTAAGACTCATCGTGATGACAGGCATATGCTGCAGTGATCCCCAATCTCACATCCAAAGCACGTTTGTATCTTTGATTACCTAATATTTTCTCTGACTGGAAGACACCCTCAGCTATAAATGGAAAGAATAACAAAATAATAATCTAAAATATCTCCCACTTCATGGGATGTATACCTTTTTGATATTTGGACCTTTATGAAAAAGCAGACAAAAAGTAGAATGGAGTTGAAAAGGAAACACACTAGAATCTTAACTCACTTTACTGAGAATCTT